CGTATAGGTATATATGGAAACTTATTTCTGTGACTAAGCTCCTTTAATGGGCTGGTAGGGTTGCCAAAAGATTTCTATCTTCGTTTTTTGTTCACGTGTGAGAACGGTATGGAGCTACAATAACAACAATAATGCAAGTTACAAAGCGAAATATTTACTGTTAGCGGATTTTGAGGTTTCGATAAATTACGTCGAGATACTGGCAAACTAGCACGCGGTTAGTTGAAAGTCTCTGCTCGAGAATTCGCACTATGTGGGCTTTCAAACCATCAGTCGATAGCGATTTGTCCGCATAGACGTTTTAGACTAAAGGGAATTTTATAATAATAATTCGAAAGGATTAATCATCTCTACAGAAAGCTATACTGTCAATTTTTTTATAATGGGTACCAAGTGGCTACCGTGAACTTCATCGATCCGATATCTCTATTATAGTATATATTTCTGTGGACTGTCACATTTCCTCTTGGTCGTGTTTTGTCTTATTGTGTGTACCGAAAATATGTTAGATAACAAACACACACTTCCAAAGCTTCTGACCCTAGCTCCTCTTGTTTGAACAACTTTATGTATTGCATACTTTTAGGATCCTATTTAACTTCTGTTCTGACTTAACTTTAACGTTCTGACAAAACTCTCCGTATTGGAGTCAATCAGATTGTCAAAGTTCGTCACGTTCGGTTTTTTGATTTAAAGAATTCTAACTCGGCTCTTTTGCGTGAAATATCGTTGCTTAATAACCATCCACATAGAGTTAACGTAAGTCTTTCTATATAATATTCAGTAATCAATCTTGCATGATTGAAAACTATACCGTTAACAGTAACTTTTCTCTAATTGTTTCAGTCTTTTATATCTGATGTTTCACTATTGCTGTATCACCATATAACATTCCTAAATGCTTCTGAAATGACAGTTCTTAGACGAAAAAAAGTCGAGGCCGTTTGAGTGCTACGAATATCACATAATTCGTTTTTTTCGTTTTTTTTCTTGATCTTCCTTTACTAACAGATATTGTATCGAAATTATTAGTCATCGCTTTGAACTAAGGTATATTTCTTCTGCCTTGAGATAGTAAATGGGTAGACAGATCTTTCTTATGATCTACTTGTGAAGGAAGTTGCTTCAGATAATTACCTTAAGTAGTCTACTGAAAAACTCCTTATTACAATTGATGTGTGTGGATATTAGTGAGAATATAAGTTGAAGTCAAGACTATGTACGATAATATGTTATGGTATTAGGTCTGATCGTGTAATAGGTCAGTTGGTTCTGACTGCTTTTTATAAAAATGTCTCAAAATTAGCGCTAAATATCTTCATCACATAGTGAAATAATAATGTTTCGTTCATCCACGTTAACTCTAATTAACTCCAAATCTTTACACCTAACTGTATGTTATAGTCTATAATCAGCTTTAAAACAGAAACGCAACAGTAAGGCTTATAGCCTGAGGAAGGTTCCCTACATCTACTCTGTCAAATGTATAGTAACAAGCAGATGACAACACCTAGCCGCCAGGCACGCTCAGTTACAAAATAAACAGTTTACTAGACCAACTTGGTCAACTGGATGCCAGCACGCACTCAGACAGCAAAACAACGGCCCGGTTAGATCAAAGAAGAGTCAACAGTGCAGAGTGGTGTCCACGCAGCAGAAGCAAATGTCGCCTAAAGAACGTACACAAGCCGCCATGCCTTTAAGCACAATAAAACGCACCACAAATACGACTACCAAGGGTGTATTACCGCTAACCGTATGCCAACAGTGCCGACTATCAGTTGCTAGTGTTGCACTACATTGCAAATTGTTGCTTTACTCACAGAACTCGGTAGCTCGCTGATGGAGATGCTAAATGTTTGGCGGTACTCATTGACACAATGCAATGCTACAGTTGAGACTTTTCCCCTTATGGTACTGCCTGCCTTCCTACAGCCATACAAACGGTACTAGTCATGTTCGGCATTTGGTCATGTAAACTTCTTGTGAACTGTGCTTAGGAACTTGAAAGTGGAAGGACCTCATATTTTGGCTATTTTTAGATCTCAAATGCATTTTAATAGATCTCAATTTTTGCTATTGTTCCTAAACAAGGCCAAAACCTCAGCCGAATCGGTGTAGAATATATTGAAACATTTCATAGGGAAGTTAAACTTATGTGTGTGTAACCTTTTCATGTCCAAATATTTGAGAAGATATTGGTCCCAGAAATCTGATTGCCATTCTCAAAATAAAAAGAAGAAGAAAATGTAGCATCTTCTTGTTGTTCAGATTCTCAAGTTCTTTCAAAGCTACTTGAAAAAGCTCCTTTCGTCTTAAAGTATCATTAAAACTATACGTGCACTAAATCTATTGCGTTCACAGTTACTGCAGATCTCCAATTCCCGCTCAGTTTATATATATTACTTATTACCACCTCTTTAACAAGAAGTTTGAACCTTAACTTCGTAAAAGCCGAAAATTTTATTTTGTTTATTTCAGTTCTGCTAGCATTTCCATTTCCATTTTTTATAGCATAAAAGGATATAAAAACAAACAAATTGTTCGAAGATTGTAGCAATGCCTTGGCTAATAATCAGCCCTAAATTTCGTGAAGATATCTTTTCAACAAAAAAAAAAGTTATCCATACAAGGACTTGAGTTTGATCGCTCAGTTTATATGGCAGCAATCTGCTATAGTTTTTCCATATTCGCGGTTCCGACAAATGAGCAGCTTCTTGATGAGAAAAAGACGTGTGCAAAATTTCTATATCTCAAAAACTGAAGGCCTAGTTCACGTATATATTGCATAACCGCACAGTCAGGCGGACATGGCTAAATCGACTTAGCTCGCCACGTTGTCCACTTTTATATATGTATATATAGCGTTTCCGACGTTTCCTTAACTTCCAAACTTAATATACCTCGTTCAGTGTATAAATATGGCTAACAATGTATAACAAGGTCAGTATTCTTCCATCATCACTTTCAGGCGCTGCAATAGAATAGCATTACCACAGCCTTTAGGCTCACTAAAAATATGTTTTATTTTTTTTATTTATATATTAATGAAAACCTCCTCCAAAAACTCTCTAATCTTAAATCCAATTTTATTTTTATCGTTTTAAAACTTTTACCATTAGGTTTTTTGTTCTGACAACAAGTTGCACATAAATGTAAGGTCCTTAACAAATTTCGTCCTTCGTGTTTGACATTTACAATTTTGTTTTTACTTAAGCACAAAAACACTTCACCTTTATTTATCTTTCCTTTATGCCCAACCATGTATGCGACTATTTACTTTGTCTCACCTTTTTATCCTCCACCTCCGGTGCAGCTTTCTGCGCTGTCTCTCTTGAGAAAATTCCGTCATGCTGTCCTTCTGTCCTTCACTTTGCCCACATTTGTTATCTTTTCACGACAGATTTTTCTTGTTATGCGGCTATAATTTCTCATATTGTTATATTTTTCATCTTTTCTAACTCGCCTTTGCGTCTGATGCATTATGGGCAACTTCATACTCATTAGGCTACTTAAGGGATTAGTTAGCTGCTGATGCTGAGTTGAGTTATATGTAGCTATTTAACGGAAAATACTCATGCAGAGAGTGGATCCTTGGAAAGCAAAAACATTTTAGTGTAAAAATATATAAAGTGTGCTTCTGGACCGTTACGAGAGTAGTTGGATAAAATAAGGTTTTTAAAGAATTTTTCGAGAAATGTTATATATCAGCAGAATTATATTTAATATGAAATGTCTTCAAAAAAGCTAACAAAACTTGATCTCTATTTCTCAATTTCAACAGAAAAAAGTAGCCTAACCACCATTAAAACTCATCTTTTTTTTAAATTATTGATAGATATTGTAATAAGTCGAAACAAATATTGATTGCAGTATTGTTATGCGCTTTCGAAACAAGTTCAAATCGGCCGAAAGAAAAATAATTTAACTTGGTGAAGAAAAAAACTTGCCAATTTAAGGGTAAAGGACCCAGGATGTGAATACCGGAATTCAAAATGACGAAATTGTGTGACATGTCATACAAAATGACATCTAAACTTTCCAGATTGAAATAAATGTCACTGTTTGTTGCTTTAAAGGCAAATATGTTAGTGTACCTAAGAGGTTTGGGCTCTATTATGAAGAAAGTTTGTACTGAGATCTGTGAGTAAATTTTTTTGTGATTTTTCAAGAATTCTATATTATTTTGTAGACTTAATTTTCGAGCATATATACTCTTGTAGAGCCAAAAAAAATTTTTTTTTCAAAAACACTCAAACTTATCAAGTCTCCATCGTATTGCAGCTTGCTATTTAGCGCCGCCTGGCACGTGTCAAATGTTTGCTTTTTTGTTTAACTTTTTTAAAACTTCCATTTCCTTCAGTTTTTGTTCTCCACCGTTTTGTTTTGTTCGCTTTTCCTTTTATGAGCCTGTTTACACTGTCGCTATGACCAACTGTTGGCTGTTTGAATGCTCACAAAAAGTACTTCTAAAGCGTTTAGTAAAAGTTTGAGATATTATTATACCCAGTAAAGTATGAGTTGGGTTTCAGGATAACACACTTTTAACGAACTGTTGTTGTTTGTCATAATTAAATGTGTTTAAATTAAGTAATTAGATAATTGAATGATGTTAATTTTAAGGTTATTTGAACTTGAACTTAAGAGCATTCAACTTTCAGCTTTTTACTTCCCGCCGAATGAGAATTTTTTAAGTTTTACAGTGTACCTGAACTGCCGGTCGGTCCTTCTGAAACGTTTTTTTTTTCGTATGAAACAGATGCCTATTAACTTAATGCTAAGTACTTACTGTTCCCTCAGTGCTCTAACCTTTACAAAAAATAAGTTTTTTGGATATTCTGGGTTTTGCTGGTTACGAGATTGACAAAATAGTATAATAATAATTCCAGGAGCATTTTGGTCCTACTTTCATAGAAGTTTAGTATGTTTCTCAAAGAAAAAATATTAACTGTACACTGTAAATCTATAACAAATATATTTTCTTTTATCTCCTTCTTCAGGTGACTGTTATTAATGGAAATAATGCTTAAGCTGCTGGTGGTACTAACAACATCAACATGCTTTTTTTCGACTGTTAATTCCGGTGTACCAATAGGTAAGCACAACAAAACACTCTCTGAATTAAAGAAATATTGTTAAGAAAACTCAAATATTTCCTTCACTGCTTCGAATTATTTACTTCCTTGCAGCAACTGGTGGTCCATCACTGATCTACGAAGGCAAAGACGCCTTGCTCACATGCGTTGTCTCAGAAAATCGCGCCAATCACACAGTGATATGGAAGAAATCCGACGAAATACTCACAGCCGGTATGGTGAGAGTGACGAGCGACACACGCATCAGCGTGTTGCATGACGAAAGTGAATGGAAAACAGGTACATATGCCAGAAAATGTTGCTCTAACAACAAAAATACTATAGTACTCTTTCGTTTAGATCCTAAAGGACTCGAGTCGGGCGGTGAGGTTTGGGTGTTGCTCGTGAAGCGATTGACTACCGAAGATTCGGGTAGTTACATTTGTGAACTGAATTCGGAGCCAGTGCTCCGTAGCATACATATACTCACAGGTCAGTATTGGAAAGAGAAACTCTCAAGTTCGAAGAGTAGACCGTACTATTTTAAACTAATTTATCTCTCACATTACCTTCTCTCGTGCAGTCAAGCAGATACCCACCGGCAATGATAACATCACGACTACCACAGAATCAAGTGATGTCTATCTCGTGCCACCGCCACTCGACGCCACCGACAATCGCTCATTTTGGCGCACACCCACCGTTGCGCCACAAATCACACACGATTTCACCGAATGCTGTGAGCGTGCTAATGTCACCGCCGAATGCATGGGTTTCTGTAATGTGCACAACATAATCGATGGCACGACGGGCATAGAGCCCGAAGCTTGTGAGAAGGACTTTCCGAATATTGTACGTTGCATGGCGGATGGACGCGATCATGTGCCATGTTGTGTGGACAAACAGATACCGGATTTGTGTCAGGATATGTGTCGCGGTGAGTATACACCCTTTACGGATCTGCTGAAGACGCGCGTATCTTGCGTTCATCACACTCTCAGCGGTTTGCAGTGCATACTGCAGGGCGTGCAGAACATACCCAGTACACCAACGGGTGTTACAGTCGATCATGTGTCGGAGACGCGTGTCACGGTACACTGGTACGAACCGGAAAAGCTGGCACATAAAGTTGCCTATTATAGTGTGAATTTCACGGCGTTACACAGTTTCGATGAGGATGAAGTATCCAATGCGTTTGCATGGAAGAAACGTCCACTAGAGCAGACCATTATACGTACAGTGCCGGTAAATCAGACAACGCTGACACTGCAGGATCTTACGCCGCTCACAATGTACGCGATAGTGGTGACGGCACATAACGATTTCGGTTCGAGTTTGCCCAGTGAACGTTTGCGTGTATTCACCCATACCAGTGAGGTATTCGCACCCCGAAGTGATGATGCCGAAGCTTCTACTTCGGTAGAAAGCATTATGCCGGAGCTGCCTAACATACGTAGCTGTTGTGAAGCCAACGGTATGACGCATCGTAAGTGTCTCGATAAAATGTGCGATCCACAAAAGACCGACCTAGCTACACTGCCTGACTTTATGGTCTGTGCACCATGGTCCAATATCACCTTCACATGCTTAGCAAATAAGATCGATCACACGCCCTGCTGTCGTGCGCGTGGCATACCAGCTGTGTGCTTCCCACTATGCTCAGGCAAAATATCAACACTGGACTTTAGTCTGTTCAAGTAAGTATTTGTGTTTGTAGTGCTGAAAGTATTCCTCTCAAGCAACATGTCTTCTTGTACGCCCTCTTTCAGGTGCCTACGGTTCATGTCTGAATACAGCAGCTGCCTTTTCCAGGGTTACGGTGTGCTTGCAGATCCACCTTCGATGATACGTACGGTGGCTAAGGCGGACAACTTCATAATATTGGACTGGGATAAACCCAAGCGCTTGGCCGATACAATCAGCACTTATCACGTAAAATTTCGCCGTCTAGGCGAGGGCGATGACTATCTGACTGTAGTGAAGGTAAGTCTAACTTGTATTTATATACGGGTTTAGAGTTAGAGTGGAGAATGTTGAATATAAATGAAGACTAGTCGCAGTTGAAAGTTGGTTGAACTGGTTGGCGTAGACATCGTGGGCAGTCGTAGATTTTCGGTTACTTTTTTTTGGTTATAGTAGTTACATTGCTAAAATAATTTTGAGGATTAATGTAGAGTTATAAGCGTTGCCAATTAAAAAATCGAGGTTCGGTTTTTTTTATCTAAACTCGGTTGTCGCGGGAACGATATACTTTGGTCGGTATTAAATTTTGATCGCAAGTGCCTGTGTAATTGGTTTGGCAGTTAGTCTTTGGTAAAACTGATCAGGTCCATAAACTCACTTCATTGAAGTCATCATTGTTAGTCGGAGCGTCCATTAAATTATGTAACTTTATGTTCTCTCTTAGTCTTTCAGCTTTACCTGTATTATTATAGGTTTTCGTTTCGGCAGCTACTATGAATTTTGACGTGTTCGTACTCTCAATACCCCTTATTAAACGTGGTATTTTTTTTTCTAGAAAAACCCACCACTTATTTTGGAAGGACTCGAACCCGAAGTCTACTATGAATTCTACGTAGTCTCCGTGAATCAATATGGCAAAAGTGAAGCTTCACCACGTCTCATTACACGCACACAACCCGCAGAGGCAGTGGATGAGCCCGAACCGGTTTACAATATGACAAAATGCTGTCAGGCATCCGGCTTGCTGCCACAATGTGCGCCACTCTGTTCGTACAACATTAAATTGTCGGATATTGAAAAGCTCGGACCGGCGTGTCGAGCACAAATGTGTAAGTAAAAGAAATGATGGAGAAGCGAAAGGAAATAACTTGTTGCAGATAAATGTTTGACACAAAATTTAATATCATATTTTTTGTAATTCACGCTATGTTACATTTTATCTCACTCTCACTCTTCCTCTCTCTTTTTTCTCTTATTAACAGCGGTTATTGTGCGCTGCGCCGCCGGTGGACGTGATCATACGCCCTGTTGTCAGCGCCGCGGCGTACCCACCGCCTGCATGACCATCTGCCGCGGCGTCATGCCACACTACGCGAACGGCGCCGGCAGCAATCCAGGCGCGTTGAGTGGCAGCAGCTATAGCGGCAGTAATGGCACGACCTCCAGTGATTGTCTATCTTATGCAGGCAATATTTTGCAGTGCATCGAAGAAGGTGAGTGAAACGCTGAGTGCTTGCTTAGTTGTAGACATAAATAGGATGTCTGACTGTCAGTGGCGCGTAAGGGTATCATAGCTTCGGTGCAGTCGAAGTTAACGTTTTTTCTTGTTTTTGTTATTAATTTTTATTATTGTTATTTGAGTCAACTGATTATTTATGTTATTGTTTTTTCATTGTTATTGTCATTCATACTTGTTTATATTTCGCATACACACACGCACACACTTGTTGCATATACTGCTCATATGCTTGCCACACTCATTTACTTGGCAGTTTTTTGTTGTCTGCACTTTATTATTATTTGTTGTTGTTATTATAAATAAAGTAAAATAACATTTCATTGTACTCGTATTGACCTTTATTATTGTTGTCAAGTAGCAATCAAGCAACCACTAACACACTTGCCGGCTTCTGTTGGCATTCAACTGCAACAACCTTGCTGGCTGCCTGCCATAGCCAAAGGTAGCAAGGACAGCAACAATAACAACAATTGCAATGTTAGTTACGGCTTACAACAATATTAGCTTTGCGCATGCCAGACAATGAGTGGCATCAACAGCCTTTGTATTTGCCAATTAAGCAACAATTAAAGCGAATTGGATTGAGCAGCTTGCACTCACGCACACACACATTCACATACTTGCATTCACACATGCTTGCATGCACTAATTTGCGTTTAAATTCACTTAAGCTCTCAAAGACAGCGCAACATATGTTTCTTGTGTGTATACAAGTATAATATGTATGTACATATACTTATGTATGTATGTGTGTATATATTTACATGTGTATGTGTCATCCTGCATCCAAGTTAATATTTACCTGTGTATTCATCTTATGTGTGCACTTACACAAGCAAAGGCTCATTATCATCGATTGCGTCTTCCGCCAAGGATATACAAATATGTGTGTGTGTTTGTGTATGTGAGCTGAAATATTTGTGTTGGTAGTTATATAGGAAAACATATTGATTGCTGTTGTAGTTGCTGCTACATATATACATATGCATTTATTGCATATTGTTGATTTGGTACCATAAAGCAATTTTATCATTTTCTGTAAATAAATAATAGTATGTCCTTATAAGGTCGCATATAACAGGATATATGAAGTTTGCCGCGATGTTTGTAACACCTAAAAGGAAACATCAGAGATTCTATAAAGTAAATATATTGTATAAATGATCAGCCATGTGCGTCTGTCCGTCCGTCTGTATATATGCGAACTAGTCCCTCAGTTTTTGAGATCTTCACCAAATTTAACATGGATTATTCTCTAAGTCTGTAGTGCAATCTCCGCAGAAATTGTTCAGACTATTACATATAGCTCCCATACAAACTGACTGGTCAAAATCAAGTTCTGTAAGGAATCTTTTGTATTTGTAAAGGGTACTGTAGGCTTGGTGCAAACGCAGTTAACGTTTAATGTTTTGGTTTAGTTCTTGAGTATTTGGTTTTAACATTCGGATTACAATTTAATTCAACCTGTGTATCTCATTTTCATTTTATAACTACGATTTCGTCTTTAGTGATAAGCCGGCAGTCAGCAGCCTCAGCCACTTAATACTTATTCTAAGCAAATTTCTTACAGCAATAAAAATCTCACTAAGCAATCTACGAACCCTTAAAAATTCCTATGATTTTGAGTTGCCAAATGATTTTGCAACATTTACTCTTTAATAGCACTTAATATTTTTCCTGTCTCTCTTTTTCTTTTGCCCTCTCACTATTGTCACAGGCACTGAGAGCATACCCGGTCCAGCTGAGGACGTGCACGCCATTTCGGTAACAAATACCACAATTAGCTTGACTTGGCGTCAACCCGGTTACGAGGCAAGCGCACCCACCGCAGCAACAACAACAACCACAGGCAATAATGAGGAGAACACGAAGAAAGGTGCTAGCTCAACTTCTGCTGGCAGCGCAAACAATGGCGATAACAACAGCAACACCGCCAACACTAATGACATTGCCACTGCTGGTGGCAGTGATGCGTCGACGTCCAACAGCGATGATGATATCGATTTTATCGTGCAATATGGCAAAGTCAATAACATGACCCTCTATGAGACTGTGGCGAAACTGGAAAATGTGAGTAGCAAGCACAACAAACACATATATATTCATGTATATACATACAGACATATATATACATACACACATACATAGCAGATGCGTCTTAAACTCTTCGTTGGTTTTCAATTCACTTGCCGCCAGCAACTTCAATTGACTAAGTTTGGCTTGCAAATACACACCCACACACATACACATATGCATTCAGTTTGCATCATCGAGTTGCTTGCTCTTGAACTGTGGACTCGCTTAACCATTTGCGGCAGCTGGTCGCAACAGTCACAGACACAGTTGAGGCTGTGTAGACACTTCAGTTATTAGCGTTTCTTTTTTTTGGGGCTTTTGTTGTTATTTTTTCTCTTTTTTGCTAGCATGCCATGCAAATTACCCAGCTTAGCCGGTAGTAGGAGCTCGCCAAACAAAGCGAGTGCATTTACATTGTAGCATTTTGGCTTCGACTTTGGTATTGGCTTCGGCTACTCGAATAGTTGGCTTTGTTGGCTGCTGGTGACTTGCAGCTGGGCTGCCACATTTTGTAGCTGTTTAATTTCGGTTTTGTTTGCTTGGGTTAATTGTGTTTGCAGCATTGCAAATCTTGGCTTTGCAATTGCCAGCGTTGGAATTGAAAAATGTTTTGCATTCAGAAAAGTCGTCTAATTAGGTTATTTGTATAGATTTTTGGAAGCGGTAGATTTTTAGGATGGGAAATCGATTTGAATGTTTTGTGCTAAGAAAAGTTATACAGTTTAAAGGAAGTGAATATGTTTGCCCATATATTTTCAAGGTATTACTATAACTGGTTGCTATTGCTTTTCTTACATATTAACTCAATAGTGAAATCATTATACCCTGAATATGGTATATTGAGTTTGCCACGATGTTTGTAATACTCAAAAGGAAGGGTCGGAGACCTTAAAAAGTATATATATAAAAGATCAGCGTGTCAAATCCGTCTGTAGATCCGAGATTCCTTTCCCACATAATATTTTTAGAGCTTTTTTTAATTGTCTATCCATAGATTGTATAGCTCAGTATTTACTTATGAAAATCCAAAAAAAACTTTTAATTTAAATATTGTTATCATTTCCTTTTACACTCTGATATTTGTGGACCAATTTTATTACAAATATTGGGTTCAATGCTTATTTCTTTGCTCTTTTCATAAAATAGTAATAACATTAACATACAACAAAGATTTTTAACAGCTGCCGTCAGAGCTATTTAACTAAAATGTTGATAAAATAGGCAGAAAAATAGTTGTAACGGGGTGCGTTGGATAAATTCATAATTATACCCTGAATAGCATATATTATGTCTGCCACGAAGTTTGTAACATCCAGAAGAAACGTCATGAAGCCTATAAAGTCTATACATATAATATATAAATGATCGGCGTAACGAGCTGAGTTGTTTCTGTTCGTCTTTCTGTCTGATGAAAATCTATACGTGAATTAGTTGCTCAGTTTTTGAGATATTGAACTAAAATTTTGCACTAGCCTTGTTTTCGCCAATTATCTGAACATTTATCGTAATCGAAGATATCAGTGCACAGTCAGTACTTTGAATCTAAACATATTTTGACTAGTCAAGCAACTCTCGTAAATAGCAGTTAACACGCGCGTGTAACCACAACTCGCCCTTGCACGCTCCGCAAATTTACGCGCGCATACAATAAGAGAGTACAAACGCGTAGATAAATATTGACAACGTTGTTATTGTTGTTCTTATATTACAACTTATTTACAGCTTTTGTTTGTTGTTATTGTTGCTGCTGTTATGTTTCTACTAACACGCTGCGGTTGACTATAATGTTTATATTATTTCGATGATAGTTTACTCATATAAATATGTTTACATTTATGCTTATGTATATTTATTTGTATATCTATAGTTAAATATACACACACACACACTTTTGTAATTCGCTCTATGCGTGTCGTCCTTTGCTTTTGAATGCGTTAGGAGCATACTCTGCTCAGCTATACTAGTGCGTGTGTGTGTGTGGGTGCGTTTTACTCGCCGCGCCGCGCACTTGCTGCGGAAAAGAGCTCTTAATAGCTTTTCTATTGAGGTTGGTAATGATGGCGGCGTTTCGCTATTTACGCAAGTGTTGTTAAATTGCTGGTGTAGTGGTGTTGTTGTTTGTTTGAAGTGCGCTAAAAGTTGTTTGCTTTCGTTGATAAAGCGCCATTTTGCACAGGATTTTTAAATTACAATTCTTGTTGTTTTTGTCTTTTTTTTGTTTTATTTAGCTTGAAAAATAAATGATTACTGCTTGCAGTAAAATTTATTGCTTTAACGGTACCAACTCTAATGATAGTTAGCGACAATTGTTTGATGTGGACTGTGTGAAGTTTGGGAAGCACTGTTGGTTTGGAAAAGTTTCTTTATAGTACATCTGTGATAAAATTGTTTACATTTTAATTTGAAAATAATAGTTCAATTAAAATTGATATTTAAAAAATTATGACTACTACATGATATAATATTTGGGAATCACTGCTGTATATTAAAAATTTCCTTATACCAGAGAATTATATACACACTTTTTTATTAAAATAGAAATATTATTTATAAATTTAGTATTTTAAGAAGAGCAAAAGTTTATATATATTTTCTGTTTTTTTTTTAACTTAGAGCTTAAACTTAGTCCATAGTGGAGTAAGCAGCACAGCAATGTTCAGTGTAGAGAAACAGAGTAATCGAGCATGGCATCTTAAATCTCTATGGGGCTCAGACACTTAACAGTATTAAGAGTATTGAAGCAAAGTTTATTTTCTTAGGTTTTCGTTTCTACTATTGGCTTCACTATGCTCTTACATTCTGGAGGATATATAGGGATAAAGAATGACGGAAATCACTGATATTTTCTGTAAAAAGTCAAATAAGTTCTTAAATTCAGTACTTGGGGCATTAAAAGTTTCGGCGCGATTTTACCTAGCTCTGGATTAAACTATCATCAAGCATAATTGCTCACTTAGTTTGATTGAGATATGCTACAGAGAGACCAATATTTCATATTAAAAGTCAGATATAGGCACCAAGGGTCCTCATATTCCTTATCTGGGGACTCGAAATGTTATGCTACGATTTTCAGAATTTTTAGTTGATAGGTGACACACTGCCAAGCAACTGTTTGTGCGAAAAAGATGTGGCTTGATTGTGGCCGTGTAGTTCCTCAGATAAGCTATTTCGCCTTGAAATGGCATCCGATTTGGCATCATCAATACCAACCGCCTTAGTTAGTCTAATATTTATTTCGACTGAATATATTACTTGCACGGATAGACGAATAGACGAACAGATATAATTTTTGCGATATAATATATCAATCTGTATCCATCTCGACCAATTTTGGTAGTTACTGCGAACCTACATACACCTATAAGCACATATATATTATATACGACACATGGATCGTAAATATGTATAAATAAACTGAATAAATATCAATATGCGCTTCCACATGTATAACCCTTTGTTATTGACAGCGCGACCCATAACTCTTCCGCAGCTTTGCATATCCCTGCCATTAGTAGAGCTTTCCGCTGTTAATTCATTGCGACTTTGTCAATGTAAATACGCTTGACTATTTGCCACATCAATATGCAACGAAATGAGTTTACAAATTTTCGACGCAACAATAAATTTAGGTTAAATCGCATCGGTATATAACGCGGACACAGGGATTTGGGTAAACATATATGTACTTGTATCTATAGACGAATATGTGCATAAAAGGAAAATCAAAATAACAAATTGATGCCAAAAACGACAGTTGGCTGTGAAAATAATTGGGAATATTCATGTGATGGCAAATTTTATATATGTGAAATTAAAATAGGCATGTGCATAAAAGTATTAGGGTGGGACAATATTTTTCTAAGAGAAATGGGTTTAATTTTGGTTACATGATTTATAGAAAAAGGAAAATATTTTCATCAAAAATAAATTATTTTTTTATTACAATAGTATAAAAATATTTTCATAAAAAATATATTATATTTTTATTATAACATTTTTAGTGGAAACATATTGTCCTTTTTCATGATAAAAATTGTGTTCGACTGAGAGTTTCTTAGCTTAGTTTCTTATGTGGTCTTCAAATTTAACTTTTTTATACCCTGAACAGCACAAGACACCTTGTCGACTTGTAAGGGTCTTTTGATCCGGATTATAGGAGTTTGTAGGTATCACAACGGACTGGCGTCTTAAGCTGTCCAAGTGGGATCCCTTCTGGGATCGACCTCCTAACCTAACCTAACCTAACCTAACCTACCTGAACAGGGTATACTAAGTTTGCCATGAAGTTTGTAGCAAACGGAAAGAAACGTCGTAGACCGTATAATATATATACGATATTTATGTATATGATTCAAACTAAGATTTTGCATGTGAACAGTATTATAGCTGTGGTGCAGCCGAAGTTAGCGTTTTTTCTTGTTTCTCTATGAGATCGCGTCTCACTATATTTCAAATTATTATGGCCATTTTTATATAGATTTTAGCTGCACTGACACGCTAAATTCATCCCACTACCTGTACGTTAGAAATGTATGCTATAATTGATTGGTTTATGAGTGCTTCAGAGCATCAGTCAATTTGGATATTGTTTTTCAAAAATTGACTTCAAAACTCTTCCAACATCGTGATTTTCTCTTTAAAATTAATAATAAAATTTCTAAACATTTTGAAATCCAAAAAGCCAGCTCATCCTAATTCGCAGTTTAACTAAGTTAAATAACTTTGTTTACATGCCCCGGATTGAATTTGCTGTATATTTCGCCCACACGTGGCACTATGCGCTTTTTGTTTGGTGGCTTAATTGCACGCAAAAAAATTCCTCACTTCTCAGCAGCTAAATTTGTTTGCTCACAAGCCGTTCTGGCGTATACGCAACCTTTTGGAAAAAATATGGGCCAACTAACAAAGCATACAGCTAGGCGCATTCCTCAGCTAACTAGTTTTGGAGAAAGCATTATTTATAAATTTATATGCCACTTTAATATTGCTATGTAGTAGCCACTCTGGCGTATACGTAAGCTAAAAAATTTGAGCTTGCGTAAAAAGCAAACAACTAGGCGCTTCACAAAGTTACCTAGGCTTGGAAAGAGTATTACTTATGAATACCTATATTTTCGCGCTTCAATATTTCGTTGTTGTTGTTGTTGTATATTTTTCGTAAATACGCCGCAATGCATATGTTGCAAAAAAATTATGTCCACCATTTTTTAACTACCGACTTTCAGTACACTCCCACATATTCATACATATATATTATATATACACGCTTGGTGCGTTCTACAAATTTTCGAGGTCAGCCATTTTCCAAATTGCATTTATTTCACTAAATCTCGTTTTTTCTGTTTTTATTCCTGTCCTCACTCACAAGATTTGCTGACAAATTGTCGCATTAATATCCATTTCACTGTTTTTTTCACCACTGCACACCTTTCAACTATTATTAATGGAATTTATATTGTTATTAATATGCTAACTCGTTTTCGAAGCTGTCGGCTAGAGAGTCGTAGTTGTGTGTATTAGCCAGCAAGTGAGCTAGAAAATTATTTTCGCTGACCCAAATGCAGCCACATGCGTTGAGAACGAGCGGAAAAAAAACCAAAACAAATAAATATAGAAGTGTTGAAGGTGTATGAATAACAATAAAATGGTGAAAATAGCGGTATTCATAACGCTTTTTAAATGGTTTGTGCTGGTAAAATATTCAAAGCTGAATAAATTGTTGTACGCATGGTAATGAAATTGCAAGTGGGCGTGAGGTCTAGATGCGTCTGATTCTGTTAACTAATCTTTCTTTAGTAAGACAAATATTTTATTGCATGCTTTTTTTCAAAATTAAAGTATGAAAGTTCTATAACTAAGTGCTGAAATGGAACATTTTTGACACCTTTTTGCTGCTTACTAAGCGTTTTAGCTTTTTTTCCCATTAATTATATTTCTTGATGGGTTGGCACTCAAATATGAAGACCATAGTTGAGTTTTAACATAGCCTGGCATATCTAACGGCATTCTTATATACTACTTTCTATTATCGCTTATTATACGAAAATAATATTGCCTATTGACTAACAATCTGGATTCCTTATTGCCTCCACTTTCGATCAATTATAATTTTTATACCAAAAATAAGATACATTAATTTTGCGACGAAGCTTGTAACATCCAGAAGGAAATATCGGATATTCTATAAAATATATATGTATATAAATGATCAGCATGATGACCTGAGTCGATTTAGTCTCTTCCGTCTGTCTGTATATACACAAACGAGTTCCTCAGATTTTGAGATATCGATCTGAAATTTAGCACATCCTTTCTTCGCGAAGATACTGCTAACCTGTCGGAAGCGCCGATATTGGATAGCAAAAAGCTGATATGCAAACGACATACATATTTGATGAGGTATCTTTACGAAATTTGGCACGAATTATTATTTATAGCAGCGGTACAATCTCCAAATCTCCTCTCTACACCCGATCTTCGAAACACCCAATTAGATTTCGAGCTAATATCCTGTTTATGGCATCCAAAATGTCGTGTGTGATAATTCATTTAGTTTTAAATGTCGTTAAAATTATTCGCAAATTAGTTGAGAGAGGGCTAGAAACATATTTGTATAACCTTAATACAATCATAGCTTCATTAGATCTAAAATTGCGCGCCTTAAAGAACATCGCTTGCCAAAATTCACGCGTCTACATAACTCATACACCATTATTGTAACGTTAATTAACATTTACGGCACATTCTCTATAATATGTTAATGAGCCAATAGTGGATTCTGCTGCGAATTGTACACAACCGACCTTAGTTGTCCATGTCTGAGATAGCTGATATTCATGTCTTCCATGCAACCTTACCACGTGTTCTTAATACTTATTATATACGCTTGACTGTATACACTTATTAACAGCTGCAGTCGTCTTGGCTTGCGGTGGCGTAACTGCTATGTTATGCTCTGCTGTGCTGCTTTATGCTGTGCTATGCTAGTGACTCCCCAGTCAGCATCGATTCGGCTTCTAACTGCCAATTTTCTGCATTCGCCACTAATGAAGTGGGGAATTATGTACAAGTGTAGCGCTACCGGAGCCCTTGCCGCTAACGGTACTAATGTTGCAGCAATTTACATACCTTAACGCTCATGCGAGTACACGAAACAGGCAGGCGAGGCAGATATTATGCATAACTATATATTTATATATGGCATGTATGTGTATATGCGCGAATGTGTGTTGCTTTTTGATAAATGTTAAGTTTACACACCCATTGCCTTGCTATGTCAACGCGCAAAGGTTTGTATTTAATATTTTCCGATTTTTACACATGTGCGTCTGTGATTTATTCGTAAAGAGTGTTTGTGTGTAATATTTACTTAAGTGCTTACGTGGAGTTTGCAGAGTTCTGCGGCACTTAAGCGCATCAATAGAAAAACTAATTTGTAGAACAGCTCGTAAGAGATCTCAAGGCTAGAAGAGTGTACTGCTGGTCCAAATATATATGGATGTACTTGTAATACATGGTTGTGACCCAAAAAATATTTTTTCTCATAACTATCATCTTATAAGCTTCGCATAAAATTCATTAGTCTTTTCGTATCTATAGAAACATAAATTCGTCTGATAAAAGGCTTTTTCATAACAGAAATATGCTTGGAGAGCGACATAAAAAACATCTATACTTAGATCCACATCTAGTAGTTATAGACCAAAATGGTTACTCAAAACTGGGGCTTCCTAAGTTAAGAAAATTTCTGCATTTGATCTTAGACTGTTTTGCAGATTTTCAAACGTTCCTCTGAATTATACAAGTGAAGCCAATTTAAACGAAAAAAATTCTTTAGTAACACGCACGTAAAAGATAATAAGGAGAAATTGTGCAAAAGGATATCTATGCCTACAAGCTTTCAGAGCATGCCAAATACTGACTGGTGTAAAAAGATCTTTAGGTTGATTTCAGTCTCTCTGTTGTATGGCAGCAATATATATGCTATAGTAGCCTTGGTTAATAATCTCTGCTAAATTTCGTGAAGATTCTTTCTGTATAAAAAAGGTGTCAGTATTGATATTAAACCAAAGATATTTAAAACGACTGTTAGCCAAAGTCAATATTTCTGCGAAGGGTTGCCATCTGTTTAACATTTTCAATCAATTCAAGTTGATTAAATATTTTAATATAGCCATCAAACTAAACAGTTTTAGAAAAGTTCTCTGAAAATATATAATTCTGCCAAGTATTGCCATTTATTTGCAATTTTCATTAATTGAAATTTCTTAAATATTACAATTTAGACATCTAACTTAACTGTTTTGGAATTTTTCTCTGTATATTTTAAGCAGTGTTGCCACCTGTTTACATTTTTTTATTCAAAAAAGTTGACAAGCCAAATGAAATAATACGATATGCTTGACTAAATAAGCTTACGAAAGTTCTCTGCCGTACATAGTTTTGAAAAGGGTTGCCGCATGTTAAATTTTTTAACTAAACTAATTGGTAAAAATAATAATTTCAATTTTAGTGTTATTTAACCTTTATGTGAATTTATGAAATGTTTAATATTTAAAAATATTTTCGTAATTAATATGGTGATAATTATTTCATTCCCAGAACTCGCTTCGTATGTTTATATCGATATAACATGCTGATTAAATTTATTAGCGAAATGCAAGCGGTAAAACTAAATGCTAGTTTAGTATTCATTAGACGCTTGTCATCTCTATTAACCATGAGCTAATCGCAGAAACACTATACTTATGCCTACAAATATTATATGTATTTATAATATGTATATGTCTATGTCTATATGTGCGTATTAAAAGCAGGTGTCATAACAGTGCCACGCCCATTGAATTGGGCACAGCTGCATTGCCATTGACTTAGTTACGAATTTGCGGAACGATATGGCGTGCTGTGGCAAGTAGCAGTTTGCGCATGCGCCACACATTAAGCCACACACGCACTTATATAAACATTAAATGTGCGCATTTGTGCATTTAAGTGCCGCAACTAGGCAAATTTATTATTTTTATTGCTTTGCTCGCTTGTTTGGTACACATGCTGCCGAGCGCACTCGTTTATTGTGCCATATGTTGTCGTGCTATTGCTGTCATTAAGCGTGAAAATATTAACACACAACAGCAACAACAATCAATGACTGTGACTGAGGCAGCAGTCAATAGTTGTAGAAACGTGCAACCTTGCCAGATAGTCAATTTGCCGCCGCGTGTTGCCGCCGCTGCTAATGTCAGTCAAACACTTTTAAGCGTTGAGCACGTTTAGTGTTAAGTGTTGTTGTTTTATTGCAGTTGGTGTAATTGTTGTTTGCGTTTCTCTTTGTTAATACACAGCTATAAAAATATTAAGTAACTCTCCTCAAATAGACATGGCTTTGTGCTGCAAGTCTTTGGTAAAGTAATAACTTAAAAAGCATATTTTATAGTCTCAATGACATAAAATACATATTTGAACTTTTTTATGAACACGTGAATATATTTTATGAACGACTTAACTGTATGTTCTATGAAAATTATTATGAAATTAATTAATAGATTATGCTTGTTATAAAGATCTAAGGGGTTGCCATATATATGCACTTGCAAATCTGAAAAAGAGTTTCTTTGATTTATTTTTTTAAAGGTCATTTTATTTAATAAATAAATAAAAATAATGCAATTTTAAAGATTTTAATATGCGTTAATAATTGGTGATGCTTTTTAACAAATTTTCGATTCCCTTAAACGATCTCCTGGTGAACCTCCAAATAAAGTTGTCTCACGGTGAACAAATTTTTGTAACTAAACTTATATTCCATCCTAAAACCAAAAAAAAAGAAATGTATTATTAAAATAGAAGAATACAAGTAAAGATCGAAGAAGTAGTAAATATTTTCATGTTTGACGAAAGTTAAAGAATTCATACGAATACGGTTATATCGCAGAAACTATTTGCCGGATCTACTTCAGATTTTTGGAGAATACTCTCAACTATTTCTACATTCGATATACAATTATATGCAAATATATGCAAATCTAAAATATATTTTTTAAAATTCACAAGTCGATATAAACTCTTAACAAATCGACGAAGATTGACCATCATGTTTTGTAAAACTGTCAAAACTCGTTTCAAATTTTTCATCCATCTGTCGCATGTCGCATTACAGCTCGCTTTATTTACATACATATATGCGCTTATACTTGATTAGAGTAAGTGATTTTGCGGCTTCGAAGAGAAACTGGTGTCATATATCATTGAAAAACTTTACTAGAAGGATATAGCTATACAGTTTGAAAGTTTTAAAAATACCCTGCTTGAAGTAAGTCAAAGTTATCTTAAAACATTTTACGATTTCTTTCTGTGAAACTAAAACTTTGGGCACTTAAAAAAGTGATCAGTAAAATATACAGCTTGCGTTGAATAAACTTACAGTGCTGACTGCGAACTCAGTGTAGTGTAGGTCGCTGACTGTTAATTGACTACTCAAAAAATTATTTAGACGGTGGCCGAGCGTCTAAGGTACCAGAGTCTCGATTCTTAAAGTTACTTTTAGATTTCGATACTATTCTTTTAAATTCTGTGTTAGGTAAAAATCAAACAGTAGCCGTTAAATGAGTGCAGTCTTCGTTATGTATTCTAGCTCTCAACAATGTCCGCTTAATATCCTACCTAACCTAACTTTTTATTTAATTTTGTGTCTAAGTGTATCGTAATCTGTCTAAATACGCTTTATGCCAATACCGATAAATTTCCATTGCCAAAATAATTGGGTACTTGAAAATAATTGTTTCCACCGCTAATCCAAGGCATTGCAGCCAAATACCAAAGACTCAAATTTTCGTACACCGAAACGCCAAATGAATCAACAAAAACACATTTTTCGCGCGCATTAGCCATAAATTGAAAACCAACAAAATACCGGTATACATGCTATTATAACAACACAAATTTCACACACACGCATATATACACATACCTTACTCATACAACGAGAAAACAAAACAATTTTAAAAATTCCAATTCCAATTTCAAATTTCAATTGCATGCATTAATCGATTGATGCCGAACTGATTGGCTGTGGCCTCTGCTGTTGATGTTGCTGCTGTTGCATCGCTACTGCTGACTGCCAACCGTGGTACCGCCGACCAACAACCGCCCATTCACCGAAACTGTCTAACAATATCTACACATACATACACAAAAACACACACATATACACACATACAAACATACACATATATGCACATATCTACATTTGGTTGGCGCGCACTCATATTTGGCGGCGCTGCATACAGGAATTGACCACAAACGAGACCAGCATCGCGCTGACAAATTTGGAGCCGCACGCATTGTATCGCATCATGGTGGTGACGCGCGGCCGTTATGGTACCGCGTTGCCATCTTCGATGTTGCTGATCAATACGACCGATGATGAGAATGGTGAGTGTGGTTTAAATAGCTTACATATACATACATACTTATATGAAGAAACTAAAATGAAAATATTTCGAAAAAGCTGTGCATTATCAGCACAATAGTACATGCGCTGTAGGAAAAATATAACTTGATTTTATAAAAAGTGTGAATAGCGGTTTTTAAGAAAGAATAAAACGCATATATGACCGGCTTAATTTTCGAAGAAATATGTTCATAGAGCAAACGAAACAGTGACTTTTTGAAGATGTAATGGCGTCTTAATAATGGCTGTACTATTAGAGAATTGCATGCATTTTTCCTACAGGGTAACTACTTACGCAGACACACTTTTACAATATATGCGAGCATTAGCTAACCAAATGCGGTTGACGTATGACATTGGTTGGCTCATTGTGCTGATTTTGGTAGATATTTTTTGGAAATTTTGATTTTATTTTCGCTAATCACAGCTTTGCTATTTCCAACCGTACGAGTACGCCTGCTGATAAAAATAAATATTTTCTCATTTCATTTATAGCTACATTCAAAAATAATACCTACGGTGCACCCTCGCCGCCACACTCGCTGTCAATTACATCACACAGCGCGACCTGGATGCAATTGACTTGGCAACCGCCAGAATATTCGCATCCGCATGAGAAGATTACCTACAGGTGAGTGCAAATGAATAGTTGAATGACAGAATGAAAATATCAAAATATAAAAGAGATTTCAAAAATATCAATTGGGGCGATGTTGCTTAGTCAGCATGCAATGAATTTTCGCCAAAATAATATTATGGAGTAGAATATCATATCGAAAGGTGTGTATTTTATTAGCGTAATGGATTATGTAAATGAGAAAATACTTTAGATATATAAAAAAAGATTAAAATTTAGAGAAATAAAGAGTTTAAGGTGGACTTAACTGAAACTGTTTTTTAACCATTGATTTTAAGGATTGAACTACTATCCTTGATATCAACCCTATCTTGAAGTCTACCTTATAGCTTTTATATCACAATTATACCCCAGATACAATAACTCAGACTCCAATAGGCATGAAATTCATGATAGCATCGAGACTAACAGCTATGCATCATCTCAACTTATTACTTCTTACTGAGTTTGGAGCGGTTTGAACTTATATTTCGAGATGCATCTATTTTAATTAACCACCTATGTTATCTAAATAAGTCTTGAAGTTCAAATACTTTCCATCAGATTCCGTATATCTCTGTTGGCTTTACTTTTACTGTTTTAGTATAGTAGCACTGGGGTTGCAATCAAGTTATCGTTTTTCACCTATTATCGACTTTATTATCTTGCCGGATGATATAATATATATAATATTCCTAGACTCCAACTCTAAAGTGATCAGCTTCGACGTTGCCTCTAACTGACTAATGTAGTGATACTAATTGTTAACCTTATAAATAGATAGAGTTTGCCTACCAAAGCTGTACTGTGTCTAAATCCGCCATGCCAATTCTTGTTTTAACAGATCTCTGGAACAGATAAAAAATTATTTATATTTCAATACCTTTTATTGTAGTAAATATTTATTAATATGCGAATATTCTTCATTTCCTTCTTCTGCCTCAGAGTCTACCACAAACCCATGAAATCGGAGAAGTTCAACAAAATCGAAACTAAAGTAGCATGGCTGCGTATGAGCAATCTGAAACCCAGCTCACAACACATACTCTACGTCGAAGCAATCGGTGAACATGCGACATCTTTACCCTCTGAGACGCTGGTGGCATGGACCGATCCGGCATTGCCGGCATTCGTTGATGTAAGTCAGAAATGTTGAAAATAAGTATTCGCATGCTTAAATTTTTTTATTTTCACAGCCGCCAACCGTACACCCGGCAGATAATATACCCGAAGGTGGCTCGATGACTATACTGTGCTTAGCTTTGGGTAATCCTGCGCCAACCATTTCACTCTACGTCGGTGGACATTTGGTGCGTCAGGACACATCAAGACATATGGTTACAGTCATACATAATGTCACTGCGGACATGGAGCATATATCCTGTTATGCAGACAATGGTTATGGTGTGCCTATGCAGGCCACAAGACGAGTCAATATATGCTGTGAGTACTTGAAGACTTAAGACTGAGTTTTGCGTAACTAAATCTGCAGCTAACACTAATTCGTCTATTTTCCAAACCTTTCGTCTTTTGCAGATGCACCAAAAATTACCGCCGCCGGTATCACTGTTGCCTCGTTGGGCGATGAGGTCGAGCTGCGCTGCACAGTCGATGCGAAACCGACACCAAAGACCATCTTCTGGCGTGATCATGATGGCCGCGTGCCCGTCATACAGGGTGGTCACTTCGATATCTCGACCAAAATGAATGAGTCGCATACAAATCTCTACACAATGTCGTTGCGCATCAATAAAATGTTGGCGACGGATGTGGGCGACTATTTTTGTCATGCGGAAAATGCTTTCGGCTCAGCGACGTCGGCGGTTTCGGTGCGTATACGCACTACACCCGCGCTGGGACGTAATGTCTCCGAATGTTGTCGTCAAATGAATGTATCCATGGCCTGCCGTGCCGCTTGCAGTTATTATGTCGACATTGAAGCGATCGCCGACAAGCCCGAGTGTATTGTGGACTTTGACAAGCTGATGAAATGCGCAGCGGACGGTTCGGATCATCGCAGCTGTTGTGCGGATGCGAATGTGCCGAGAAAGTGCTTGAATTGGTGTCGCGGTGATTCGGTGCGTGCGAAGGAGGTCTGTAGTTTGCAATACTCACGCACAATTGTTGGCTGCTTTGAAATGAATAGGGACAAACTGCCAGGACCACCGGAGAATATTGCCGTCAGCGTTATGTCGAACAATGAGGTGATGATTAGGTGAGTAGTTTAATGATGTGGGATAATTAGTGAAGTCGAAAGGTGGTTACAATCGGAGAAATATCAGAGAGGAGAAAGAAGAAATAGAATGATCAGAAGGGATCAGAGAAAGGATCAATTCGAAAGATAAAATTCGTGCCAATTTTTAATCAATCTTATCTTCGACGTCCTTTTGAGAAATTTTCAGGGAATATATTCGGTTCTGTATTATTCTATCTATATTTTATTTATAAAAGGGTTTTCTAGCATATGTGCCTAATAACTCATATGGTTAAATTTGGAAAAGTTCGAGGATATATATTTCAATAAATTTTAACATACTTTTCTGAATGCATTTTTGATAGGATTTACTATAAACTAATAATCCAGTCCGAAATAAAATATTTAAATGCCCAGAGAAAACTGTATAGGTAAAAGATGGGTAATGGCATAAGCATTCCACAAAGAATTGTTAGGAAAATTGTCGAGTTGGCAGTTCTTGAGCAGTCCGTTGGGTCTCATAGACCCGACTGTCTTGCGAACAATTACTTTTGCATCTCACTTAAAAACCTTTCAAAAATATTAAGCGCCCCTTAAAAATTCTTCTTTCATTTCATAGATGGGATCCACCACAAAAGAACCCCAATGTGGTCGAAGGTTATCGGATATTTTATCATGAGGCAGCCATACTTGCAGGCGACACGAGTGAGTCCAGCGGTGACGGCATGACCTACAATTCAACAACACTACAAAATAACACCGAAATCAGGCGTATCGATGTGAAGGAGACCACAGTGAATATAAATGGTTTGAAGAAGGATGTGCTCTATGAGCTGGTGGTGAAAGCTGGCAATGCATTTGGTGAGTTTGCATGCGACTATTAAATAAAATATACGTATATGAAAAAAATAATTTGTATATAAAAATAACAAATATAGTGCGCTATAGCAATAACAACACCAATTTCAATAAATCACCAATATTAAATTTTGGTTTCAGGCGCCAGCATTCTCACCGAACCAGTCAAATTCACGCTCGGCGATCATCATGTCACCTCAGCGACAACATATTCAAATGCTGTCGGCACCATCAGTGGCATTGTGGCCAGCATTTTGGCTGTGCTATTAGCAGCAGCGGCCATTGTGTTTTATCGGCGTCATCGCGCACGTAACGGTAAGGCTGGTAATGGTGTGGCTTTCGAAAATCCAACATATACACGCGGTCTGGAGCAAGTTCAGGTGAGTGCGGGCAACGGGAATTAAATTATGCTACCTTATATATGTTTGTAGTTGTATATTAGGTATATTGCGTATTGTATGTATCCATATGCGTGTGTGCTGGTATTGAAAGTGGATAATTGTTTGAGGTTATGGTTGGTTACGGTGAAGAGTTTATGGCATATAAGCAAGTTAATTGAGGGGAAAGGCAATTTCGTGTCGAAATAAATTTGAAATTGTGAACAAAATATACCTGAATAAGAGGATATTCGGAAATTTTGATAGTAAAAAAGTAAAAATTTCGAAAAAGTTTGAAATTCTGAAAACTCACAAACTCATCTTTAGAGTAAGCAACTGTATAGCGAGCTACTCAAGCAATTTTGATGAATATCAAAATTTGCTAAAGACAAAAAATTAGTGAAAGCTGGAAAAATAAATATAATTTCAGTAAGATTGCTGAAAATCTAGCTTCTTTAAGAAGAAGTCGGAAATGGTTCTAAATAATGAAATGTTCGGTATCGGAAAATTTTCACTCGAATCACACCAGTTGATTAATTTGGGACTACTTCTGAACAGTTTTTAGTTTGCTTAAAAAAGACTCCTTTCCAATAAATATTTTACTTTTAGTATACCACAGTATTCAAAAATTATAAATTTTTATATAGACTTTAAGCAAATCCATCACTCTTTTCTTGCAACACGCAATTAATATTTATTTCCAAATCCCCAAATTAAATACTATGCAACATTTCTACTTGACGTATGCAACCAAAGTAAAGTAAATGCAAAAACAAAACAACCGATGAAGTGTGTAAGCTCAAACCTCGTTTTACATTTATTAAAATCGTAAAAACAAAAAAACAGAGTAGCGAAGAGAAAAGAGTTGAAAAAATTGCGCAAATCCCCCACTGAATAATTCCCAACTGCAATATTTGACTTTGTTTGCGTAAATGCTAAAGCTGCAGCTGCAGCAGCTTAACTGGCCGCTTAAGCCCATTTACATAACTTACAGCAGGAATAAACGCCACCTGGACATATTGCATTGATGCCACGCACACGCACAAGCACACATGACATGTATGTATGTATGTGTGTATGCATGTGTATAAAGCGGAAGCATACATTTTTATGTGTTTGTGGATTTGTGTTGTTTGTATGTATGTGTTTACATATATAACCGTATGAATATTGGCAGCTGCTATAAAGCAGTCCGGTGTTGACCTGGAATATAAAGCTTTTCGGTAGCATTAGGGTTGAGTTGTGCTTATCCAAAACTGTACTAAGGTGGTCTAGAAAAATACAAAAATTAAATTTTTTAAGGTTTTTTTTCTAGGTTTGTAGGTTAAATATGGAAAACAAAATTTAAAATATGGTATTAAAATGTACAGTTCAAGTAGTCAATTTTTTAACAAATTTATGAAATTCAAAATATATTAAATTTCAGACTTAAAAAATATAAAAACTTGAAAGAATAACGGAATACTTGTATATCGCTGAATACACAAATCATCCAAATGCTGGGTATTGCTCCAAAACAATTCTTTTCTATAGTTTGTGTCCTAAGTAAAAAGTAATTTTTTCCTCCGAAATTTGAAATAATAATTTCAGTACGTAAGTTCCCAAGAAAACGTGCAAATATGGGCACCTTATATGACAGATACTATTCCGAGTCAAAGTCTGATCTTTTCTCGAAAAAAACATTTCATAAAAAAAAATAATAAATGAAGTAAAATATTAATAAAGTTTTTGAAAAAAAAAATTTTTTAATATTTTATTTCGTTTAAACATTTCAAAAAATAGAAAAACAAATATTTGTTTAACATATACTAACGAAATATATATTTTGGATACCTTTTTTATAAATTTTATTTTTGAATTTTTCTTATTAATTTGTTTAAAATTTTATTGTAATTTTTAAATTTGTAATAGAAAAAATATTTTTTAATTAAGCATGTATTTTTTTCTATAAAAATCTTACTTCTGTTCTTAAAATTTTAGCATAAGTCTATAATCGTATGAAAGATTAGCTTGTGTGGAACAATTGAATAGTTAATGCAATTTGAATTAAATTTCAAATTAATTTATTTCAATTCTGAATGATCCCAATACATAACAATATATAATTTTTCAAAACGTATAGTAAAAAAACGTAATCAAATTGTGTTTAATTTTATTTCACCTACCACAGAAGCTTTTATTTCATATGATGCCTGCCTTTAATTTTACTTAATGTTTTTAAATATTATTTTAAAACATTTTTTTTTTAATATTAAATTTTTTAGATATTTTTACCAAATTTTTTCAATAAAAATATTTATATATTTTAACATCTAAATTTTTATATATTTAAAAAAAAAAGTTTAATAAATAATTTATATATTTTAACAACCAAAATTTCTGCCACACAATTTTCGAAATAATAAAATGTATTTAAACTTGCACCATTTTTGGTAGTGATTGGCAGACAGTTTGCTTTAAAAGTATACGACCCAACTTAGCTTGCATGTATGCCACCTTTCTCACCCCTTTGTTTGTATGCATGTGTGTGTGAGTGTGTTTATGTATGCGTATTTGCGCATTGAAGAGTTGTTTTTTTGGGTTTTGCATTTTTTAATCCACTTTGAATATTTCTTCCTTTTTTATATATATGTTTGTGTGTTTAAGTATTTGCAATGTCTTTTTGTATTTGTATAAATACTTCAATTTAACAAATTTTAATATATTTTTTCTGTTCTTTTTTTCCTCCCGTTTTTCTTACTTACTTTCGTGTTCCGTGTTTTTGTTTGCCTGGTTTGGCCAATGAAATGACAATGTCTTCCCATATTCGTTCTATTGCAATTTATTGTATGCCGCTATTTATACAACAACAATAACAACAACTACCACTACTAAAAACGACTGCTGCTGGTTTTGTTATTGCCACCCAATCACTTGATTGTGTGTATTTGCATATGTATGGCTAAAATCGCCTTCTGGACGGACAAAAAACTCACTGTGTGGTACTACAACAACATTTTTCATCGATGAAAATGAATTGGCGACACAAATAAAATCCTAAAATCTACAACAAATCGCGCTTTGACAAATAAAACGAACTTGGCAACTATGCGCGCAAATAAAAATTGAAATTATGGGGAAATTCGTGAAAAATTACAAAAACCACCAATACCAATATTAAAACTATAAAAAATTAAAACAACAAATTTTTGAAAATTATAAATTTAAAAAAATTAAAAAATAAATATTTATGTATTTTTTAAAAAATATTATATTACTAAAAAATATAAAAAAATTAAAAATATGCCAAATTGAAAACAACAAATTTTAAAACTTAAAAAATAATAAAAAAAATTTAATAATTAAAAAAAAATTATAATAATAAAAAATTAAAACAATTACAAAATATAACAAATTAAAAATTGTTAAAATTAAAAAAACTCAACAAAAATTTAAATATTCAAAAAACACAATAACAAAAAAAATTAAACTAATTAAAAATAATAAAATTTTAACCTAATAAAATATATAAAAAATTAAACAAAAAATATTAAAAACATATCAAAAAAAAAAAAATAATGAATTCAATAAAACTTTATAATTTAAAAAAATTATATATATTTTATTTTTATTATTTTTCATATTTGTTTATACACAAAATTATGAAAAACTATTAATTTAAAAAAATTTATATAATTTCTATCGCAAAAAAATATAAAACCAAAAATTAAACTGTATGAACATACAACGCATTCAACAACAATATTACACATTTTTACCGCCAACATTTCCCATAATTGAAAATTAAAAACGTGAACAATAACAATTTCTTTATCAAACTCAATGGCAACATTTGCACACAAAACTGAAACAATGGTTTTTCAACAACAACAATGGCTGGTGAAAATTGCAACGTCAATCATTTTTTCCAACGAAATGACAACAACAATGCGCTTACGTCGCCGATCATATAATATTTTCTTTCATACTACGCTATTTTTAATCTTTCATATTTCCATTCAATTTTTTATGCTTTTTCCTTTCGCGCACTGTACCCCTATTGACATTCACCGACCGCAAATGCTCTGCCATTGTACCGTTGCCATTCAATGCGCTTACTTTTAATATTTGTTTTCATAATCCATCTGCCGCGCTTTCTTCCATTTTGCCGCTGGCTTTTACGCGCCTCGCTGCCGTTAATGCTGCTCGGTGAATGCACACATACATACAAAAATCAATGGTTGTGTTTTTCCTTTTCATTCTTTTCTTATTTTTTCTCATTTTTGCGCTTTTTTTTCTATTTTACAATAAAAATAAAAAAATCTGTCACATACATATATATATACGTGCAGCTACCCACAGTGACATCGGCCATCACCCACGCCGGCACCACCGCCCAGTCGGCGCAACGTGATGGCATCGTCAACGATGCGAACGCGGACGCGCACACACAATGCAACGAAGTAAATCCGACAATTTACGAAGAGCTCAAACTTGGCCAAGAAGGTGCTGGATTCAAGAAACTTGTGCCATAAATGCCAAACATGTGCAATAAAACTCAAAAACACAAACACAAACAAGCGCGCGCACACACACACAAATATACACTCTAACATAAAAAAATGCTTATATACACAAAAAACGCTCCCATAAACAAAAAAAAATAGTTGAAGTGAACTAAACAAAAACAAATTGGCAAAAAGTAAGATGAAAAAAGTTGCTTAGCTAACGGTACAAGCAACAGTTAGCCAACACACATAAAAAATATAACAATGACACACATACAAACGCACAAAAACGTATATATGTATGTGTGTGTCAAGCAGACAAGCTCAAGTCACACACATACACATACACACAAAAACGCACACGCACACTGCTACAAAAAATCGTAGCTAGCAGCTGTTGGTATTTGTATTTATATTTGTATGACGCTAGCACACTTAGGCGTATACGTAACTTTTTAAATATATGCTATGTAGAGAAGCGCGTGAGAAGAAAAATTCAAAAAAAAAACAAAAAACGAAGTGAAAAACTATAATAAAAAACATAGTGAGTAAGCATTAATCGCTACAAAAAATTGTGAGTTACAACGTAATTTAAACTTAAAGTATAAAAATTTCAAAAACAGCAAAAAAGAAAAAATAAAAATATAAATAAAAGAAATAAAATAAAACGATATGTAGCTTAGTTTAAAAAAATTACAAATAATGCATAAAAAGTTAAAAAAAATCTCACTCATAATTTAAGTCGCGTGCATAAAGTTGATTTAATCCCTAGATTAAGTAGCAAGTGTATTATTTGTTGTTGTACACGTTAGTAGCGCGCATAAGCACACCGATCACGAATTGCGACAGACATTTATGCGCTCGTGTGTAAGCTTGTCAGCTGCTTTTACGAACGTACTATGTATAAAGTAAAGTAAATGAAAATAAAAATATATTACTGTAATATTAATTATATATCGTTTATGTGCATCCATGCGTATTTGCTTTAATGTATTACTACCTATTATCTATTATGTATTGTATATTTCTAGCTACTAAATTTAAATTAAAAACTAAACCAAAAAAAGATGAAAAACAAAAACATAAATTAACTGTAGTTTGCTTCCTAATATATACTTAAAGACGCTTAAATCAAATTAATGTTATGTAAGCCATTTTACATTATCTTAATTTTCAGGTTTTGTTTAGACCTCAGCGTAATTAAAGCTTAAAATCGGTTATTAAAAATCATTACACATCCTAAGAAACATCAATAAAATGAGTGTAATTTTTGCAAATTATTTAAAAAAACTTTTCAATCATTTCAATCACAGAATCATTGAAAACAACATATTCGTAGAATGCGGCTTAAAAACAAGATGTTTTATTGAAATTAGTAAATCTTTAATATTTTCAAATGAATACAAATTTATTTTAGGTTTTTTAATAACTAATTTCCAAAAAAAAAAATAATAATAAACTTTTGTTACATTCAAATTTTTTAATAAATTAAAAATTCCGAAATTTTTCTTTAAATAAATCGCTTTGTGGTAAAAACTGAGACGGTTTTTTTTAATCACCATTTTTTATTTCTTAATTTTTTATTATTTAATTTTGAAAAATATTAATTAAAATGTTTTTTATTTTATAACTTTATATTTTTCTAAAAAAGTGGTAAAATTACTATTCAAATTTATTAATATTTTTTTTTTAATAATTTTTCGAAAAATTCCCTTTAAAACCAAATTTTGCAATTTTTTTTTTATTTTTATTAAAAATTTATATTTGTTAAAACGTATTTTCGTTATAATTATTTTTTTTTAATAAAATATAAAAAGTCAACTTTTGTTTTTATAAAAAAGCGTTACGTTGTTAAAACTTTGCAAAAGTTTATAAATTACATTTTTTATTTACTACTTTTTTTACGCAATAATTTTTAACAAATGTTTCCCAAAAAAAATTTACTAAAAATTTTAGGCTTATAAATTTTTTAAGTTTACAATGCTTTTTCTGAAAAGTTTTGAAACAAGTATCTATTTTAGATTTCAAAATAATTTTTTAAAATATATTTTTATTCAGATTCAGTTTTTTAATATAATATAAAAGTTTTTTTTTCAAATTAAGTTCTTAAATACAAAGGCCACGAAGGCAAAGCCTTTGGAAATATTTTGTTAATAACATTTTGTTATTTATTAAATTTTTAAAATATATTCTTAAAAAAAAAAGTGTAAATTTTTATCTTTGAAAAATTCTTCTTAAAAAAAATAGTGTAAATTTTTATCTTTGAATTTTTTTTTTAGCTTAAAATTTTTAAATCGTGCAAAAAGCTTTGAAAAAATTGTGGATTTTAATTTTCAGTTTCAGTTATTTTACTTTTCTTTTTTAAATAATTGTTGGAAATATATGCTTTTAACAAATTTTTTCGATTTAAATATTTAATTTTCTAATTGTTTATAAAAGTATATATTTCATAGTACAAATTATGCAATACTTTTATAAAATGATTGGTATAAAACTTATTTCTACTACCGGATTGAAATCTAAAAAAATATTTTTACCACCCCAATTAAATTTTTTAAGGAAAATAATATTGAAAAAAAAAATATTTTCTTCAATCAGGCATATTTGTTGTTCTGACTTTCAGTTAAGTACATGCATAAATTTATATAAAAAAGGTATAAAACATGTTAACTTTGTGAAAGGCTGTCGAAAATGGATTACTCTATCCATGTCTTTACAACCATGAATACATTTTACCACGTAGATCACCCTGCGGGAAACTGTCCAACTTGAAACTCTTCATAACGTTAGAGCAGTCTTTTTACGACATGCCATATAATTTTTCTTACAAAATCAAAATTTTTAGTTTTTTTTTTATTATTAGATATTTAGCTCGTATGTTTGGCTGTGTGTTTGTGATTTCGTTTTAAAATTACAATTTAATGCCAACTAATGCTGCCAGCCACACTGTTATGCACACAAGGGCCGTTAAATGGCAGCTGAAAGGAAAACTAAACTCTTTGGCAGCTAGCCAAATGATTCTTAACAAATGGCTTAGACAGCAGCAGACAAATTGATGATAAAGACATAAAAAAGTAGAGTAAACAAACAACTCAAAATTCTATGAGAGCTTCAATTATTTGAATTTATTTTTGATTAATTTAAAAAGTGGAATGAATTAATATAATGGCACGCCATAATATATTTCATACAGTAACATAACCTTATTTGTAACACACGTGAATTAAATAAAATTTCACCATAGAATAAAGAAATCGCTACAATATTCATATAAAATTCATTTCAAATTCACATCGACAAATCACTAAATCAGCGTATCTGATATTTAATTTGAACAAAATCTGCATAATTTTTTACGTTTTGGCAAAACTGATTTCATTATGTAGGCAAACAGTGATATCGTATCAAAAAATCGATCTATGGCAAGTAGAATATTTATTTGAATATAACACATACTCACACACACAAACACGATTCATACACATTCCAAAAAAAAAAAAAATTACAAAAATAAAAAGCAGTATTTGTTGCAAATCTGCAGCTTAGTGAATGACAACGACTCTCAAATAATGTTATCTCTAGGATTTTGTAATTAATTTAGTCTGACTTTTTCTAACAGCTGACAACTGGTATATACAATCTGACAAATACAAGTATATAAAGTACATACAAATAAATTGCATTTTATGCTTCATTGTATGGCTTTATAAGCATTTGTATAAATTTCACGTGAATAGACACATTTAAATAAATAACAAAACAATAAAAACGTTAACTTCGCTTGCACTGTAGCTAGAATATCCTTCACAAATAAAACGGATTCCCTTACAGGAACTACTTATTTCAATTTAACTTAGAATAAAACCAACTTAAGTTAAAAATATTTTTGCGAAATTCCCAAGTAAGTAAATATATATGTGTTTGAAACGAGTAAGCTTGAGTTGTTCTAAGAGCTTGATATTTTTAACAAGTAGAAATATGTATGTGTACTACTTTATTTATTTGTATAACGCAACTGATATACATATGTTGTATTTGTTTTTTTGTGTCATGCTTTCGTATGGAATTGAATATATAGACGCTTTACGAGTTAAAGTACAGTGGGTAAGTTCAAAAATAATTTATATAAAATTTTTCAATTTTGGTGTATTTATATTTGAATGTCAGATAATTAAAAGTAAGAAAAATTGTATAAAAAACACTTAAGTTTAGATTGTTAAAGGGCACACGAAGCGATAAATTGCAATAAACAATTTTTTTCATTTTTCGATGAGTTGTACCTTTGAAAATAAAATACAAAAATTTTGAAAACATATCTCAAATAGCTACTTTAATATACAGTGGCTACTTAGTTCAAAAATCAAAATATTTATTAAAAAAAAAAATTATTATAATGGATGTTTTTTTTTAGAAGTGTGGTTTTCATTGAGGTATTACTTTTTTCGGAGTTGGTGCATTTAACAGCTGTTATTTAGTTTGGTTTGCCATTTTATAATGCATAGACTTCAAGACCAACAAGTATAAGACCATCCCGATTTTCACAAGAAAATTTTTTTCACGTGTGAAGCTCACTTTTGGTTGAATGGGTACGTTAATTAACAAATTGTGGCATTTAGAGTGATGATAATCCACAAGCCATTGTTGAGACGCCATTACATCCTCAAGTCACTGTTTGGTATGCACTAGGGGCAAAGGGAATCATTGGTTCATATTACATGCTCTTTATTTCTACTTGACAACCACAGGTCTAAGAAAAACACCCTTCATAATAAAATTAATACAGTAGTTTTACTGTAGAAATTCCTAATAAACGCCTTTTTTCTAGACTGTCACACTATGGGTATGCCCCTAATATTATTAGCTAATTTTAACTGTGGTGAGAACGCAAAAAAAAGATAACTATAATATAAATAATCGAATTAGGCCACTGACCTCTCTTGTACCATTTTTCTGACACTTATTTCCTTCAAGTTCATTGTTTGTAATTGCGAATTCCAAACAACGCAAAGTTGTGATTTATTACTGTTTTAAATTTTTATGCTCCACTGCTTTTCTATCAAACAGTTTTCATGCCTTCTCATGCCACTGTCGCTGTTTGTCGGCGAATTCTCAATAAATTAACAGTATTTTTTATTTTTTTTTTGTTTTAAAATTTGCATCCGGCGCCCACATGAAAACCGTTAACTTCATTTAATTGGTATTTCTATTACTCTCACACACTCTTCCTCACTCTGCCTTACTCTTACGCTCTCTTTCTCACACGCATATTTGCAACTACTTGCCCACACTTTCTCACACGGTCTCGTTGTTTTATTTATTGCAGGCCTACGAATTTTAATTACCAGCGCCAATGGCCATTAGTCTTGCGTGCTTCGGCAGTGGGCAACAGCAGCGCGTAGTCGAGGAAAAGACGACAGCAATAAGTAAGCGAATCGTGGGCGAGCCGAGGAGCAGTTAAAAATCTAATGAAAATTTGAAAGTAGGCCCAAAAGGCAAATGCGCGAAGGTGGTTCGGTTAGTGGTAAACGAGCGATGTACAATTTTTTTGCAGCACTTATTAGGTGTACGAGTACCTATGAACAACAGCAACAATAAGAATGGTGGAAAGCAAAGCGGCGAAAGAATGTTAATGAATGGGAGACGACAGCTAATCACCTAGCAATGGTTTAATGCTTGGCAGCTGCCATAAGAACGAACAAAACAGCGGTGAATTTTCACTTTTAGATGTTAGGGGTGTTTTAAAACTTTTTTGAAACCCAGATTTTTTTTTTTTTTGCAAGTTGCCTGTTGACTCGCCACTTGCTATCTACTAGGTCTAACTAACTCTATGTTTCAAGGAGTTTAGTGCTTTGCATAGCTTTGATGGAGTATTTGATTAAAATATTTAGAATTTAGGCAGATTGCTCGATTGGATTAGGTTAAGACTTTTAGCTGAAAATATCTAATTTAAATTACAACGGGCCTTAAAAAGCATAATACCACAAATAGACTATTAAATTTTATTCATATCGGCAATGTGATCCAGTTATTATTCATATTACTGATTTTTAGGGTATTAAAAAAAATTTTTATTTTACCTTGATTACAAAAAGTGTTAAACTTTTTGCTATAACGTTGCAAAAAATTTTTTGGAGAATTTATAATATTTCTAAGCGATTACGTTAGCGCATACACACAGTTTTCAATTAACACAATAATATATTTATGTACACCCCTAATGTGAAACTGAAACAAATCTTCCTGGTTTGCTCAATTACAGATTTCCTTCTCTTATTTACCGGTAATGCAATACAGTTATTACCAATAATATTAAATTTTTCGAGTTTTTTTTTACAAATTTAATAAGACATTTTTTTTGAGAATATTTAATTTTTTTATTTAGCGAATACTCTAGCGTTGACACAAAGTTAAAAAGCTCTAATCAATACAACATTTAAGTACACCCCTAATGTGAAACTGGAACAAAGTTGCCCGCTTTGCTCAATTACAGGTTTCTCTTTATTCTCTTGCAACATTTTGCTTTAGCCCGCTTTTAGGCAATAATGTGTACGATGGTGGGTCAAAAAAAATTTTACATATAATTCCAGTTTATATTCAGAAAACTTTTTGTTAGATAAAAAAATTCATGGAAACGCCAAATTATAGCTAAAAAAATGTAACTGTTACCTTTAATAAGTTTTAAACGGTGAAGCTTACGAAAAAATTGTACTATTTTTGTAGAAAAATTTCCTACAATATATTGAGACGAGAAATATTTTTCAATTAATAAATACTGAGATAAGGATTTTTCGTTTCAAAATTAAGGACCAACAGGAAAGAGTAGAGCGGATGATCTTCCTAAAGGATGGAGAAAAATATTTTGTAGTGTCAAATAAAGTGAATAAAATAACCCACCCACCCTACTGCGCCCACGAACGAAAAGAAGCTGTCGTCACCAACGTTTTGCTTTTGCCATTTGAGCTCTTTGCACTTGTAGCTGCTGTTCATATATTATTTTATAATTTAATTGTAATTCTTGCTGTTCTTAGCGCTTGCCACACAATTCAAGGTCGTCGCGTGAGTTAACCTTATTAACTTGCAATGCACACAAATGTTCTTTTTGTTTTTGCTTGCGTTGTAGTTTTTGCTTACTTACTTTTATGTGTGAATAAATTGAATTTCAAGCGATTTAATTTTAGTTATAAATTTACACACACACACTATTACAATGTATGCATATGTATATGCGTGCAGCTGTGCGCAATTACGAAGTCATACGAGCATTTGCTTAGAAATGTACAAATCAACGAACGATAATAAATGTAAAACTTTATTTGCAAAACATACAAAGTGTTTTCATTCAACTATATTGGGGAGGATGAGGAGTATGAGGTAAGTACATATAGTCGTGGGATGGGGCGTATGAGTAACATACTAAAGTTTTGATAGGAAATGTAACTGAACTGGATGCAGATATTTTATAGAAATACTACTAGAAAGTAAGAACCTTGCAAAAAGCAAAACTAAAAAAACTCAGCATTACTCTGTCAAATTCCACTTAATTTGGAGAAGATCAGTTGATCAAATGATGAAAAAATTAAAGAAATTGAACCAGTAATCCTTCCACTTCAATATTCAGGTTTAAGAGAAAATGAAGAAAGTGAGGGAAAGTTAAAGTTAAAATTTTCAGTAATATTTTTTCAACAATTAATTTTTATTATCTTTGACTAAAACGTAATTTTTTTTAAATCTTAAAAATAATTTACTGAAATTTAATATACTTTTAACTTCAGATTTTTCATAATTATAATAACATGATAAATTGTAGAGCTAACTTGATTACTACACAATAACAATATTTTATGATTTCATATACTGCCTTTGTAATCGACACTTTAACTTGCCTGTTCTCCACCAATTAACGCACTATTTGCTACCAAGTGAAACTACAAACTCTTTTAAAGTTTTACCAACCAAAGTTGCATATGGTAAAAGCGTTTAAAATAACAATAAAAGTATGCGAAAGTGTATACAAGCCCAGTTGGAATATCATGCTATAAGAAAACTGGTGTGTGAATACAAAGATCGCTGACTAGTTAGTATTTGTGATGACTACAGCTCGTCAGTAACTACAGTAAGTGGTCACCTTCTTCTTGAGTATTTGAAATATTTTTTTTTATAAATTTTGTGTTACATACTTAGTGAAAGCTCTGATTTCTCATACTTAGTGAAAGTTCTTGCCCTCACACTTAATAAAAAGCTGTAGTCCTCATAGATTAGTGAAAGCTCTTGTTCCTCGTACTTGATGAAAGCTGTAGTCACTCGTACTGGATGAAAGCACTAGTCTCTCATACTTGGTAAAAGCTCTAGTCCCTCATACTTGCTGAAAGCTCTAATCGTAAGTTAGTCGCTTTCATTTTGCTAGCATTATATTATATTTTCTTACAGGGTTTCTTCGTATATAGTACATCAACATCTACTGAAGCCACATACTATCATCTATATATACATATATGGGTATATATATATGGGTATATGACCGTGCGACTTCGCCAATTTCAGAGAGTTTTAAAAGCTTTAAAGTTCAAAAGTGAATATTACAAAAACATACACAAATAAAGTCGTTTGCGACCACAAAAGAAAAATAAAAAAACTATAAGTGTTGAAAATACAGTAAAAACAAAAGGACTTACCATAACCAAATATGTGTGAATTCAAATAAAGAACTGTAAATGATAAATATGTGTACACACACGTTGTAGATGGCGGAAGCAACTATGGGTGTTTATATAATATATTATTGTGTATATGCTTTGCAATAGAAGCTCAAAGCAAGTAAATAATACTAGTAAATAATAATAGCGAAAGGTTTCATCTTCATTGTTTGACGAAATCATGAATGGATTACAATAAATTTTTAACCAAGTAACATGATCATTTATATATATATAAATAACCCTATTTCAAACTCTGTGCAAAATGTTGCAAGAGTATAAAAACAGTAATATAACTAATGTTTTTTTCTTAATCAAATTCGTCCCACTGTAGGAATGACGTTGTTGATTTTATGACGTCAACGGTTGTCGTAACCTTGTATGCTATGAACGTTTATGAACTTCGCTCTCATGCAAGAAATATCTTTCAAGTAAGCTACTGAACGAACTGACTTTAATGACATTACTACACAACCGTTTGGCACTCACTTTGTGGCTATGAGTTGTGGCTCATCAAATACAAGCGACGACTACGCGCCTTTAAATATCTTGTATACCTTTTAACTGACACTTAACCTTTTGTATTGACCGCACGTTAACCATAAACACGACCAAGTTAACGCCAAGCACCCGATGACAATAGCGCAAATAAAGCCGAATGCAACAAAGTTGTGGCACTGCTAGCGTTCACTTTACCCAAGTCACATAACGACTGCGAACGACAACAATGTATGCCTGCATGATAAATAATTGAAAAAAGGGAATAAAAATACCACATATCACCATTAAATGGCTGCCACATACTCAAAATTAAATTTCCTGTCTGTCCATGCTATCCACAGGGTAGTCAATAAATTTTATCACGTTGTTGAGGCTTAAAAAGAGCGGTGTAGCGATTTGAGAAGAGTGGTAGCGGGTGTGTGGTTGTGTGCGTGACTTGTTATCAAAAGAGATTGTGGCAAGCCACATACATGTTTATACCTATGTTCCTCATATTTGCGTGTTGCTGTGCTTGTTAGCGCAACTAAATCATGTTTGTCGCCTACGTTAAGCCTACGTCTTTGGCTGATGGCTGTATTAAGCTGTGTCCTTCATTTATTCTTTTTGCTACAAAATCGAGTATACGAGAGCGGTTCGATAAGTACTTAGACTGCAAAATTTGAAAGCTTTGGAAAATCGCGGTTCATTTCACAACATTTCTTATACTTTGGTCGATACACTTGACCCGGCGATGCTCCAGGATCTTTAACCTGTCTGACAAATACGTTTTCTGTCGACAGCGAGTGACTTCTACATGTTTAGAAAAAAAGTAGCGGCACGAAGTGAAATCTGGATCGAAATTGTCGAATTGGCCTCATAACGGCGAACCTGCTGCTAAGAAGATAAAGACTGTCCGTCCTATGCGTCAGGAAAGTGATATCCACTGTTTTCTAGAATTTACAAGGTATGATTTACACCGACGACCTCCAGATTGGATCAACGTAAAATTTTAATATTTCCAAATTTACTCGTTTGGCATCTCTTGTACTAGATCTGATTTAATTCATTGTCGATTTTGTCGTAGAACTCTCTTTTGTCCTTCTTCCAGTAGTCGCTGTAGATCACATCTGGGAAACCTTTCATTCTGTATACACGCAGAGATTTTTGACTTTCGAAATGTTATTCTCCGTGGTAGCTGCTATCGGAGCAACTAGTCGTGGCTCATAAAAAACAGTCGTCCGAGACTAGTCACCGCATACAGCATCCAAGCGATTGTTGATTTCCCTGCACGAAATCTCCTCCATAACCAAAAATCGATTCACTAACTGGTATTTCTGGCTTTAATTGTTCTTTAAATCCGCCAGCATCCCACTTCCATACTAGATCAACTTACAAGTTCTCTTCGACTGAAATACTGTCAACGAAAAGTTGACGAAAAGTAAAAAATTTCCCTTGCGATAGTGGCGCCCTCGGATCTTAAGGCTAAGTATTTATAAAACTACCCGCGTATTACTTATATGTATCTATTCGCAGAGGCACTCGTGCGTTTGAGATCCTTGAAAGCACTCACATATATTGGTATGTATGTATGTAATTGTACTTGTGGTCCATTCTTACTTCCGCCAAGAGCTCACTTACACATACAAATACACTTCGTTCCATGTGAAACTTTAAATTTACTTCCACTACCGTTTCCACTCGCCACGGCCGCTGCTGCTGCGCATTTTATGCCATTAACTCTCGGTTGAGGTTTTTCCCGCCTCATAATTTCCCATTACGAGTGTTTGGTTTTCTTTTAGTGACCGCCGTAGCCGGCGTCGCCGCTGCTGCGGCTTATTCAAATGGCCTGATTCACTTACCGCGCTGTTCAGTCATTTTGACCATAGCGGCAAGCTGCGTTGCCAGTCCTCGCTATCAGTCTTCAACTTGCAACATACACACACACTCCAGACTCTTTATATACATATACTTACTTATACGCTTGCCTTCTTTTTGACGTCTGCTGCTTGCATTGTTTTTGTTGTTCTCCACAGCTTATTTTTGTTGGGTAATAAATTTCCTTTCTTAATCACTTTCGGCTGCCTCAGTCAGTTTTGGATCTGGTGGGCCGCCCTGTTTTACACACTCTCATTCTCATTTTGAGCTATCTCTTGTTTGTGCATGTGTGTGTGTTTTTGCCTGTTAAAATGTTATTTAACTTAAATTTAATTAAAATTTTGCCTATAAAAATTTCACAAGCGAAGAGTGTATATAACATCAATGGAAGTATATATCAGCAAGGCGCACTAAAGCTGCCCAATCAAAATGTAAATTGAATGAAAAATGTGGGAATAAGTTTGGACCATCAGCTGTTAAATTTTAATGACACATTTTTGTTGTGGGCCGGCAATGATACAATCATATTTTGGTAAAAATTGATGTTGGTTTCAGAGATTGTACTGAATGTAAATGCCCAGGTGAACACAGACTTTTAAGTACTCAACTTACTTCCGTATAGCTTAGGAGGAGACAAGTCACTTCCCGGTTTCTCCTACTTCGAGTTTTAAGTATCGTAAAGAGCTTTACCACATTCTTACTGAGAAGATAACTTCTAAAGAACAATTTTTTCAGGTTCCATCTTGGAAGTAGGCCAAAATTACTGCAGCTGAAGAGGCGCCTTTTATAGCGCCGTCAGAGATCGCGTGAAACTCGAAAAAAAAATTCAATTTTTTAACTTCCAAAAATTAGTTTTTTTAGACCAACACACTATGTAGGTGTGCCTCTTAAGTTAATATTTAATAGGCAGTTTGATTAGTTGATTGAAAAGGTAGGCGCACGAGCGCCTTAAGAGAGGGCAAGAAGCAAAAGATTATAAAGCAAAGATTTTTTTCTACAACAAGGTACAATCTCCGAGGAAATTATTCAGATCGAACTACTATATCATATAACTGCCATACAAACTGACTGATGAAAATTAAGTGCTTGTATGGCATATTTTGTACTTGTGAAGCATATTGCAGCTTCGGTGTAACCGAAGTTAACGTCTCTTTTCAGTTTTCTACCAATAGCTCTTGTTTTTCCCAAACTTCTCGCCTACTAGTAGATTTGATATCGAGACTAATTTAAAGAAATCAATATTTCACCTCAAAAATTAATTTATTTAAAAATAGT